AATATAAAATTTCTAAAATAATAAAATTAAAATAATAAATAAATTAATATTTTGGCATCTTGTCAGTTAAAACTTAAAATCAACAACGGCTTTGACACACTATATAGCGATATCGTAACAAACTTTGACCTGAAAGCCGAAAAGGCGCCGATAAAAAAGGTAACAATTGGCGCTAGCCAGCACCAGTACTGAGCTGAACCAAAATCCAAGCCAATACAACAAACTATAGCCGGGTTAGCAAGCAAGCTTCAAACGCTGATGAACGTTTTGCTGCACCCACCCACAAGTACATGTATGTAATTATGTACACATACCTAAATAAGTATGTCTGCAGCCGCACCTTGACAATATTTGAGTTTTATTTCATTTTATCTTGTACGAGTGAACGAAGTACGACGCACAGGCAAAAGAAAACGGCGCAATTACAAACATATGTAAGTTAAAATTCAAGAATAAATACAAAAGCAAAGTCTCAAAAGCTTTAAAAATACTATACACATTCGACTTTATCGTCGTCAGTGTCGGTGTCGGTTTCTTCGACGACCGAGAACATACTAAGTAAACAAGAAATGGCAGCAAGCGAGTCGCGGCCCTCGCCTGAAATGTAGAATACGACCAACAAAATGCAGCAGATTGAGTAAAATTCAAATAGCTACGGCAATTGGCAACAACAACAAAGTAAAAGCAAACGAAAATAGAGCGTGGGCACCGCCAGCACCATTCAGCATCAGCAACAGCTTCAGTGTCAGTTGAATATCGGTGTTGGCACTGCAAACTTAACCAGAAAATAAGCCAAGAAATAAATCTCGGATGGCGAGAGAAATTTTTCTATGTCAGCAGTACAGCATACATATGTATGTACACTGTTGCCATTTGATCACGTCGTACCACTTATGGTCCGTTGTTATTCTTGGTTAATGTTGTTGATCGTTTGAGAACTGCGTAAGAAAAAACATTGAAGCAATTGGGAAAGTGTTCACTTTACACTCTCATACAGTTTCCAAAACGGTTCACGAGTAAATTAAAAACAAACTAAAAAATTACACATCTTTTATATTAGCAACTGAAATAATTAAAGCGCGAATCATACTTATACATAGGATCAGTATTAACTTGACACAAGTAGCATCAGACCACAAAAAGCATTAAGATCTTTNAACTGGTCAAAATATCGCACTCCTATTATTTTGTGGACAACTGTAGTTACTAGGCGTGAAAGCTAACGCCAGCTTCTGAAAGCTCTCTGTAGCTTGAGCTTCATCNACCACAAAAAGCATTAAGATCTTTCAAAAAAAAGTTTCCAATTTTTGTACATACATACATATATATGTACATAGTTACTAGGCGTGAAAGCTAACGCCAGCTTCTGAAAGCTCTCTGTAGCTTGAGCTTCATCAAAAAAAAAAACTTAAGTTGATGTTATTATTGAACGTACTGATGAGGCACTTCCTACACAACAAAAAAAAAAAACAATTCGACATTTCTCCGATTTGCAATACAAATGTATGAAGTATAGAATATTTTAAACATCAAAGCTACAGTGGTGGAAAAATAAATAGGAACACGGCATTTTTTCAAATTTTTCCAATTTTTCTTTCGTTTATTTAATATTTATTATTTTTTTATAAGATTGTAGCTCATTATCTAACAAAAGACCATATAAATTCATTCTTCAAACTTAGTGCAAAACTTATAAAAATTCAGCAAAATTGGATCCGAATTTTCAACTTTTTAATAAGATTTTGTGGTGTCCTTTTTTTGCACCACTGTATGTACATATCCCTCGTATACCACATTACAGCTGAGTGTTGAAAAATCTTCCAGCTGTTGGCAACATATTGTCACACATACGTAAGTACCTAATGTAGACCTTTTGAACCAGCATATGGAAACACAATCATACAAGCACTTCAGCTGCAAAATATCTATCAAACATAAAACTTAAAGAAATGCTAGGGAGTTTGTAATGAGAAAAACGTAAAGCAGCTCTGTAATTCCTAACAGCGCAACAATAATGAGGGCGGCGAGAATGCTCTTGTTTACATATATGCATATGTATGCACATATAAACCCAGCTCGTACCCTCTTCAATGTTTCCAAAATGCATAAGCAACATGCTATATGTAAGCACTTACCCGAGGCGAGTCGGTCGTTTGCTCCGTACGCATATACATACCACATGTTTGTGTCTGTCGGTCTTTCTTATTTTGAGTTTCATTCATTTCGGTTTTCATGGAAGCGCACACCCGTCAGTCCGTTCAACACGCAACATCATTGCCACGACCAAACGAACAAACGGCGGAACGCACCGATGGAAAAATACATATTTCATATGTGTATGTATATATATATATATATACATATAAGTACATATGCAGGCACATATCGCATGTTACCGCCAATGCGTCGTATTTTGTATAAATGCAACCAGAAGCATACTGGGAAGGGAAGGACAGACCGACAAAATGTTGCGGCGACGAATACGATGACGACGGCGGTGGCTGTTGAAATAATTTTCTAAAAATATACGAAGAGTACATGCCAAACAGTCAGCCAGTAGGCAGGCAGGCAGACAGAGCGATGTGAGCAGTAAAAACAAAGAAGAATAAGGCAAGGAGCAAACTGCGTATTCACCAGAGATGTAGACAACCCAAAGCGGACGACCAGCCTGCAGAATGGNTTTCCAAAATGCATAAGCAACATGCTATATGTAAGCACTTACCCGAGGCGAGTCGGTCGTTTGCTCCGTACGCATATACATACCACATGTTTGTGTCTGTCGGTCTTTCTTATTTTGAGTTTCATTCATTTCGGTTTTCATGGAAGCGCACACCCGTCAGTCCGTTCAACACGCAACATCATTGCCACGACCAACGAAAAGGGAAAGAACAAACGGCGGAACGCACCGATGGAAAAATACATATTTCATATGTGTATGTATATATATATATATATACATATAAGTACATATGCAGGCACATATCGCATGTTACCGCCAATGCGTCGTATTTTGTATAAATGCAACCAGAAGCATACTGGGAAGGGAAGGACAGACCGACAAAATGTTGCGGCGACGAATACGATGACGACGGCGGTGGCTGTTGAAATAATTTTCTAAAAATATACGAAGAGTACATGCCAAACAGTCAGCCAGTAGGCAGGCAGGCAGACAGAGCGATGTGAGCAGTAAAAACAAAGAAGAATAAGGCAACGAGCAAACTGCGTATTCACCAGAGATGTAGACAACCCAAAGCGGACGACCAGCCTGCAGAATGACAAAAGGGTCGCACATTGTAGCGGCAGTTGTTTTGTTGTATTCCGTTTTCCCTTGCTTTTGTTGTTCGCATTGTTTTCATTCGAAGGGAAATGCATCCATCGTATAAACGATGCGAACGTACGGCGAGTATGGTATTTCACTAGTTTCAGCGACGGCAAAGACGCACATTCTTAATGCAACGTGTTGAAGGGATGAAATGACTATGGCAGTAATTTCCACCACCAAGGCAATGCCTTTCGCCAGCACCACCGCCACTTTTGTAGGAAAACTGCACGTGTGCTTCAGTAACGACTTCGATACGTACATACAGAAATGTAGATACGGGGGCTTTGTCTNCAATGCCTTTCGCCAGCACCACCGCCACTTTTGTAGGAAAACTGCACGTGGGCTTCAGTGACGACTTCGATACGTACATACAGAAATGTAGATACGGGGGCTTTGTCTTTTTTTCTGATGTACGCTAAGGCAGAGGCTAGTCTTTCGTCAGCGGCTGAGTCAGAATTTTAGGTAAGCACAGCAGCAGTATACATGGATAGGAAGAGAAGGAACTGAGGACGCACCCCTGCTTTAAAAATAGTATAATCATTGGATGCGACGGGGTAAGGTATTGTACTGCATTTCATAGTCTATCGAGAAATGTCTGGCTAAGTGTCTGTAAACGACCAGCTGACAGTTGGCAGCTTCCTGCAATTCCACAGCCGTCTGTTTGCGGTACCACCAACACAAATCTAGATTCAGCCCCATTAGTCTATGCCAATGTACGCTCTTCTAATGGAATTCTTACTTTTGAAAATCGTTGTAAGGTCTCCACGTCCTCCGCTTTTGCGAGCTGCCAGTTTTGCCAGTTGCGAGTTTGTTGACGCCATTTCGTTGACGCAGCAAATTTACGGATAGCTTAAATCATTCGTAGCTCGCAAACCGACTGTGTCCGTTATTACTTTCTTGCACTTGCTTGTAAGACTTTCTCTTAAACTAAAAACTCGCCAAAAATTTTGTTTCCCAGCATTTACCTAGCGCCGTTATACAGGTAACTATGGCGCAATTTTTGCCTAAACCCAGCAAACAAATAGGTTTGATATACATTTGAGAATGATTAGAAATCAAAGTCTTTCTCAAATGGCAAACGTTTGAAAATAATTTGATATTGATTTGAAAATTACAGCTTTCTCAATAAAAAGAGGGTTTGATCTCCATTTGCGAATATTGTTAACTCTCAAATCAATTTGTTGAAATAAAATTTATTATAGGAAATGTATATTTCATATATATTTTTTCTTTGCGGTGTACATATTGCACACCGTCTTCAAAAGAGTCACAACTCAAAATAACACATTTGTCAGAAAATGCGAAAAACTATTTCTTAGCACATGACAATCATATGGGCAAGGGCGACTTTACCTTAGGTTTTTTTTAACAAATTATAACAAAAATATGCTCCAGCTTTTGCTGAAAGATAAATAAAAGGTCTGTATGCATTTTTAGCGCATAATCTCAAAAATGCCAAATTTTAAGTTGTGACTCTTTTGAAGACGGTGTGCGATATGTATGCACATAACAAAAAAACAATTAAGGTAAAGTAATTTATAATAAATACGTCTTGAAGGGCTGCAGCTTCTTCAATCCGCGCAAACATCAAATACACTATTTGAGAGCTTTCTCTTTGAAAATTTTTTTCTATTCATTTTTTTTTCAATTGATCTTAATTTTATTCTTACAACTTTTTATTTAACTGCGCATTTTAATATCGTTTGACACTTGCCATCTTTCTTCAAATCAACCTCAAATGATNCACTATTTGAGAGCTTTCTCTTTGAAAATTTTTTTCTATTCATTTTTTTTCAATTGATCTTAATTTTATTCTTACAATTTTTTATTTAACTGCGCATTTTAATATCGTTTGACACTTGCCATCTTTCTTCAAATCAACCTCAAATGATTTTCAAATGTAAAATTTAAACCTCGTTTTCAATTTGAGAATCATTTGAGAAAAACATTTGATATCAAATTGAGAAATACATTTTTCTCAGGCGTTTGAAGCTGTGTTTTCAGGGAAAACAAAAGCAACGTATGGAAAGAAATTATTATCGAAGTACATTTATCCAAGCTTTGGCTTTTCATTTATCTTGTATCGTATGCAACAATTTGTGTTATTCTTTTCTATGCTTTACAGCAGTCTCTAAGCGCGTTTTTTCGCATATTCAGATTAACAGCCTCATTCCGTATGTCGCAAAGTAGGCTAAATTGTACGACTCGACAACCTTGGCATTGTCTACCGTCGTGCTGAAATAAGTAAACGACGAAAATCGTCGAAAACTATGCAGTGCTTCCAAGTTTTTCCGTGTTAATACACTAGTCGAGTCGAAATTTAGGCAATGAGAAGAAATTTTCGATACGATTCGACTCTCAAAAAACGATTTGCATCGACACGACTCTCGCAATGAGCCTGTAAGTCTTTNAATGAGAAGAAATTTTCGATACGATTCGACTCTCAAAAAACGATTTGCATTCGACACGACTATCGCAATGAGCCTGTAAGTCTGAAAGCGCAAATAATGTAAGTATGTATGGTACGATCCCGTGTCGCTTGCAAGTCCTGCAAATCAAGAGTACGAGGATTGAAATCAATGCCTAAAATATGTCGTAGATAGTTTATATTTTTATGAATGAAGCAATAATTAATCGAAATTAAGCTAACCACATCGTAATTCAAAAAACTTAGTGCGAGTTATTATTTTACACGCTGTACATACAAATACATATCGCCGTTTAAAGTACAAAACCGCGTATCGTCGTTCTGCAAAACCGCGTTTTTTGCCAAAAATTGGATTTGCTCACACAAGCTCTTTGCTCAAGCTTTATCCATTCGTCCTAAAATATACTGGCCAGAAATGCGGATGCTTCATAAGAGAGAGAACCATTTTGAAATATAAACGACGATATATGTAGTACTTATGTATGTACATATGTAAAAGGGGGCAAAAAAAGCTCGCTAAATCCAACAAACACAGCGTCAACGAAGAAAATTAGGCACGCAGTGGTGACGTTGATGTGGGTTGGAAGCAACAAACCGACGAACAACAATTAAAGCTGAAGCTTATTTAGTAAGCCATCATCACCATCTACTGGAGCATAGAGGTTGAAGCAAAGAGCTTCTAACCTCACCGGCGCTTTCTGGATGCCCTTTCTACGCTTGTAGCTTTGAAGCCAAATCATATTGCTACGCTTTCATTATTACAAACATCCACATTTCACCTTCCACCCTACTTGCTTTCGATCTCATATCCAGCGCCAGCATCATAAGCACAATAAAATATTTAATTCGTCTTACAAGTAGCGAATCAATGTCCTAAGACCATACATAAACTTTCAAAAAATTGAGGACTCTGTATGGAATTTTCCTTCGCTAGTAGCGTATAAGTTAACGATTGTAATGCCGGCATTTATTGTACGCGCGCCGCATAGACGAACGGAAAGTGCGCTCAGCGCAAGGGTCGAAAATGTTTACTCTGCACAGCATATCCTTGTCGATTTCTTGATTATTGTTGCTCTCGCTGCTGCTTACGCCTTCTTTGTTAGCGCAATCTTGGCTAGAGCTAGGGAGTATATATTTATTTTCTTCATTAAGGAACGCAAGCGAGCGAGGTTGAAAACGTAATGACTACGGAGTTGCTGATTATTGGCAGGCTAATTTATTGCCCGTCATTTTACACCAGCATGTACGGCGTCTAAGGCATCTGCTTCTGTTGAGTAAGGTATGAGAGGTTATACCATTGCAAATGTTGTCGATTAAAAACGTCGACTGGGGAATAGGTGGCAGATATTTTTTCTGGCGCTTGGATTTAACTTTTAAATTAGTGTTTGCCATAGATGACACGTGTAGAATTCTCAATGTAACTATAGTCTTACATATACTTAAGAGTCAAATAGACATGTATAAGTTATTGTATAATCAGCCTCATTGCGTAGTCGTAAATTAGGCTAAATTGTACGACTTGACAAAATTGGCATTGTCTACTGTAGTGCTGAAATAAGTAAACGACGAAAAGCGTCGAAAACTATGCAGACCTGACAAGTTTTTCCATTTTAATACACTGGTCGAGTGGAAATTTTAGGCAATGACATACAATTTTCGGTACGACAAGACCCTCGAAAAACGACTTGCATTCGACACGACTCTCACAATGAGGCTGAATAATCTTGGTAATGCATTTTTTATAATACCACTAAATACTAGATCCCTTTAAGGCTATACATTAATTCTCACTTCTTTTGTTTCGTTTTCAGATCAATTCAGCAATGGGTCTTCAAGCTACTGCCGCCACCAAGCGGAAACATGAGATAACCTTCGATGGCAAACAGGCCAACACATATACCAACAGTCCGCCTCCCCTTAAAACAGGCAAATGGTCAATTAATAATAACAACTACATCGAAGCCATTGAGGAGCAGCAACAGCAACTAAATGGCATCAGTATAAAAGATGCAACCGCCAGCATGCGAACCTTAACGAACGGCTCCTCAGACGCCCTAAAGGACACCACAGTGATCAACAACAACGCAAATGGCAACATTAGTGGTAACGGGAGCAACAGCAGCAATACGGGGATCCTTAATAGTATTAGCAATGGTAAAGAAGTTACTAAAACCGCTGACTCAAACACACCACACCCAGTGGTACCGTCAGCGACAGGCTTCACAACCTCGAGCTCTACAAGTTTGCCATCAGTGGTCGCATCGTTGTTGCCAATGGCCAGAGAGATAACCGCTACAACGCCATTACCTCCCACTTCCACCACCCCCGTCCCAGAAGACAGTATTGCAAAGTTGGAAGAGGTTGCTGCCGTACCCTGCTGTGAGCCATGGACTAACTCAGCCACAGAACCTGTCGATTGCATTTCGAAACTGCAAGCTGTCGCAGTACCGAGTGACCCATGGGGTAGTATTGCGACACGCTCAACGTTAGCTACAACGCTACTGAGTGCCGACGAGTTGGACGATGATGATGACGATTTTGAAGATGACTACGAGGAGGAGGAGAGTATAATACCTACTTACTGTCCCTTGCGATATCACTCCTTTCCGCCACCGCCTCCAACACCTACGTCCCCGCATCAGCAACAGCGACTCGGCAGCTATGCGCCTGCACCGCTTGGTTACGGCTCGCGGCCCAACTACTACTCAGAGCCATACCCGCAGCAGAATTGTTCGCGCACTGGTAGCCTGCAGCATATGCGCATGCCTGGCGGTAATGGTTTCACGCAATGGCAGAGCGCCGTTGGAGGGCTGGCTAGTGGCGGCCAGCAATTTTATGTGGCGCCAGAGGCGGCCTACCCACCACCCCAGCAGCAGCCCCCGCAGCCACCACAACAGCAGCAAACAATTCGCTGTGCCGAGAACGGAAAATCGTATCTGGAGCTGGGCTGCAGCAGTCCTGTGTCCAATGTGAACAGCGTTAACACCGCAAGCGTCGTACCACCACCTCCCTTTGGCAATTTACATGTGGCCGCCGCTAATCTCGATGCGCGCCACCCACTCAAGCGCTGCTGTGATGGTCGGGGTGCCTGGTGTAATACAAACAAGAATTGCTACAAGGATCTGCGTCTGAAGATACGAAATCTTTCCATGTTCAAGCTGTCGCGTTTTCGCCAGGTATCCGAGCAGTCGCTCTACCGATCGGTACTAATATGCAATACCCTCAAGCGGATCGATCGCGAAATCGAAACGGAAGCTAAGGAGATGCATCAAGCAGCAGCGCAGGCGGCCGCCGCCCAGCAGCATCACTACCATCAGCATCTGCATCCACCGCATCATCTGCAGCATCATTTGGGTCCGCAGCAGCCGCCGCAACAATTGCTAGTCCCACAGCAGCCGCACACAATGCTGCATCAACAGCACCAGGACTATGCGCCGCCCGTTATGAACTGCGCTCGCCTGTCTAACATGGACTATCAGGTGCAACACCAGCCGCCATCGCTGCTGCAACAGCAGCCCACGCAACACTTTTCCCAGCATGTGCCGCAATACCAGAATCAGCCCGAGCGACTCGACACGCCACCACCATACTTGAGCGTACAACCGCAGCAGTTACAAAAGCTCGGCGGTGGCTTTGCGCTTAGCAATAGTCTTACTAGTATCAACATGAACAACTGTGATTCCCCAACATTATCGGCGACATCTCCGCCCGCGACGCTGCATCCTTATGATCACTACCCCTTCCGGGAATCGCAGTCCGGTCGCGCTACGCCATTTCCCTGTCAGCCAGCAATGTCGCCCGCACCACCATCACCAACACCAACGCAAACTGCGGCGCAAACGCAGCAGTCCGTAGTCGCAGAAACATTAATTGCACCCAGCACAGAAAATGCGCCAACCAACAATGTTGTTTCCACGGCGACGGCGACAAATGTATCTAGCAACGTACTCACAACGCCGCTTACAACCACAACAACGTCCGTCGTCAGTACCACCGACAGCAGTGACTCTGGCTACGCGGATGACGATTCCACACGCTCCATCAACTGGAGTTCGGTGCTTAGTTTATCTTCCCAGTCCGCGCTCGATCCGCTCAACAGCAATGACCTCTTCGCCATTTTGCCGCCTGCATTGTCGATAACCAACCCAGCCACCGCCACGCCAGTGCCTGTCACAGCAGCGACAAGCGTCAGCGTAGCGGACATCACAGCCCAACCGCCTGCAGTCACAATCAGCGGCAGCTTCACCACCGTGCAATCAACAACCGCCTCGAGTACGAGCGCCAGCGCTTCAGCTCCTAGCAACAGCAACAACATCGCTGCATTCAACACATGTACCTCTTCCTCGACAGCCACTTTCACAACGCTCTCAACCATCTCATCGGCGACGCATTCGCTCACCTCTTCTTATGTGAGTAGTATGAGCGCCAATGCGGCAGCTGCATCAGCTTCTTCCACATGGGAATATGGATTCCTCGACATGGAATTTGGTTTGGGTTCTGAATTTACCGAACTGGTGCCCAGCTGCAAGTTAAGCTCAGATGAACTCTTCAAAAGCAGCCTAACGCCTGTGGTGGCAGCGTCGCGTTATTCCTCCATGCACGACAATGAGCTAGAACAACCCGCGCACATTATGGTCGGCAGTTAGTATCAATTGTAAGGCAATGGTACAATGCAGGAGACGTGGTGCCACGCGCTGTTCTACTCTGACGGCGTGCGGTACTGCAATGCTAATAGGTGGCCTTGCTGGTGTTTGTGACTGCTAATAGCGCAAGGTGCTTGGCACAGTTGGAGCGCATGGGAGAGATGGTGGAAGCAGCCGCACTGACGCTGATCCAACTAAGGCAGCACAGCAAGCAGAGAAAACACAACAGCCAATTAAATGTTATACTATTTTTATGAAAGTTCCATGTTGGAATAAAAAAGGCAGTCATAGGACGGTTCGTCTGCAAATTGTTATTGTAAAACAGTATGCCCTTTGTATTATACAATTTAGTTGCAACTAAATAAGTTCTCTTAAGTGTTAAATGCTCAGGTTGTGAACTTTACGTTTCGAAAGCCCTTGGAAATTGTGTGTTCAGCAAGTGGAGAGCCAGAAATAAAGCATGCTGGGCTGCGTAATTCGTAAGAAATTTATTCGAAGTTCTTTTCTACCTTAACGCGTACTTGCGCATGAATTAATGGTCCTGAAGCGTAAAAACGTACTTAAAGAAGTATTGAAATAAAAAGACAATTTCAAATGACCTTCTAACTATATTTTATTTAACTATTTTTACCAAAAATTTTAAACGTCACGAATTATGCTATATGCTATATAGCATTTTATTCTTTTTGAAATCGTAATTAATTTGAATGAAAACTTGTAATAGTTGCGAAAATTTGAAACTTTGTTTAATTTTTTAAATGATAAATTTCTTTCGAATTGTGCATCCAACCCCTTCAGGATTCGAGCTTTCATTGAACGAAAAAAAATTTATGAAAGATTCAATTATAAAAGTATATACGTATGTACATAAATAATATTGACTGTTTTCTGCAACACCACGCATTACATAGTAAATTTCTGTATACATCAGGTGCTATAAAAAAAACAGTTAATATTCATTTAATATACATAAATATTCTTTCATTTTGCATTCTAACAACAAAACCAAAGTAAAAATTCTTAAGTTNTAAAAAAAAAACAGTTAATATTCATTTAATATACATAAATATTCTTTCATTTTGCATTCTAACAACAAAACCAAAGTAAAAATTCTTAAATCCCACAACTAAGTTAATGTGTAGTATGTGTCTGCGCACTTCATAGACACATGCAACACTATAACTTTATAATTTTAAAATTTTAATTGGTTTAACTTTAGTGCAATTTTAATTTCACACACAAACGCATACGCAATTATCCTACTTTATAAACATTTGTTAACTTTTTGCCAATTTTTTCTCCAAACCGTAAAATCGTATCTTAAAATGTATTACTCAAGGCACAAAAGTAAAACTAGCTGAATTCTAAATTGTATATACTTTTTATCTACATATACATATGTAGTGAATTCGAAAATATATACTTCAGATATTTGCATCATATGTACATACTTATAGGTTAGGTCTTTGGTATGTACATAAATCATTTTTACGTAACTCTTAATTAATAGCTGCAATTACGTAAGATTAAAAAAAGTTAGAACTCTAAAATAAGAACAAAATTTTTAAACTAATACCACTAATCGAGATGAGAGGAAATGAAATAAACTACAAAAGTATTTATAAAACTATAAATCATATGTGAAAGTTATGTAATTGTAGACAATTCATTAACTGTAGATATAAAGACAATTCCTTATACATGTACATATATAGATACATACTGTGCGTAAAAAAAAAGTATGGAACAAATTTCATGCTGGTGAAGCAAATGATTATTATTATTACTGTATTCTGTAATTTAGACATAAGTATTAGTATTTTTATTTATAAATGGAGCAAAAGTTTAAAACATGTTTTATAGAAAAAAATCACAAAATGTGGTGAAGAAACACGAGCAAAGCAAATATATGAGAAATTTGTTTTTAAAATTTAATGAATTTGCTTTCATTTAAATGGATTTATAGTTTTAAAAATATGAGCTTACGTAAACAATAGCTGACCATAGGTGGGTATACGAGGTGATGATTTTAAGGCGATATAATGCAAAGAGCCAAACAGTACAAGGACTCCATTTCAGCGGATAAGGACACGTAGCATTACATCGCTAGAGAGCAAAGTATTCTTGTTTTCGTACGAATCGAAAATTTGAAATTTTTGTATGGAAAATGATAGGAAAACTCAATTATATTCGATTCGTACGAAAACAAGAATAACCCGATTAGTTTTGCTGTGGACTCCAGTGTGAACCAACAATATTTGTATGCATGTAAATTTGTTTAGTTCCGGCAATATACATACGGCTTCGATGTAAATTCTTCGAATTTCTGCTATAAATAGTTTACTGAAGCGATGGACAGCATTAAACTGATTAGTGAACCACACATTGCTATTAATAAGTAGATTATGAATAGCAACTACAGTTAAGTTCTATAAAAAAAGAAGATAATAGAATTTTGGAGTACCAGCAAATAACGGCCCTATTCTCACAACATTGACAAAATTTATCGTATAACTACTGTCACAGCCACTGCGCATAAAATGCAATATAAATATTGTTTCGCCGTTGTCGCGTACTCAGTTGGTCATAGCAATGACAATGACAATTGTCACCATAAGAGCGCTTAAAATAGTAGTAAAGACAATAGTCTGCCATTGCGTGTGGCTAAAGAAATAGTTCCAAGTAATTAAAAAAATATTTACTTAAAAAAATAAAAATAGACCTCCGTACCACCAACGTCTAAATATATTTTGGGAGGTATTTCTTTCCTTTTTAGTAACACACGTACATATCTAAATTGAAACAAATCGGACCATAAATACGGATTTTCTCTCGACTCCTGCGCCATCTATCGCGAACATTTTTTGTGGATTTATTCCTTTTCATGTAAGTAATAATCATTTTAAATAGGAACTTAATAGTTGTGTTCAAAATGCTCACGATATTCACGATTTGTAAGTTTTTTTTTTACATGAAAGCGTTCCAGGTGTCAAAAAAAAGCCGTAAGTCAAAGCAATTTTGTAAAAGTAACTTACTGTCTCTCAGTCAGAAGTTGCAGATTTTAGTCCGAAGTTTTTCTTCCTGCAATTTCATGAAAAGTGTCAAATGGCCCTACCCTACCTGAATTTGTAAAAAAAAAAAACAGAACGCCATGAAAGCAAAGAACCTTAAGTTGGATTTATATGACGCGATTTTCTAGGCAATTCAACATTGCTCAAGAAAAATAGCTCGTGTATATGGTGATTCACTAATCGCTCGCCTCAAAGTAGACAGCAAGTCAACTTTAGCAGGCGATTATCGCCTGTCAAAACATCGCCTCATGTAAAGGTAGCTTAACATGTTCTAAAAAATGGGAGTAGTTACAGGAAGTGTTTTTTTCGCGTTCCAGGTGACTTTTACTATTTCGCTCTCGCTCCTCTATTTAAAGAAAGTAATTTTGTTATTTGACAGTTTTACAGGCATTTACACGAAGTTATCTGGAACGCAACTAATCAGATTATAAATACTGGCTTTCCAAACATATCTATTGCAAAAATGCAGTTGCCAATAGCCATTTCAGCCACTGGCAACCCAAGTGAAGATCGTTTGCCATCCTTAAAAGACCTATAAGTGTTATGCTGAGTTTATGGATGCTTTCCAAAACGTCAAAATACAAAGCATAAGTGGCTTTCATTTATAAACCTCAGTGGATTGTAAATGCCAAATGTGCGAAACCACGGTTAGATGCAAGTTTTCAACTAGGTTGCGCAAGTTAGACTTTTTTTCTAGTGCGGCTTAAAAATAAAAGATACTTATGCTTCGTATTTTGACGTTTTGGAATGCACCCTTTCCTACCGTATGTGGTGTGCTTTAGAGGGCTTCGCTTTACTTCACTTCACTTCCTCAGAGCTTTCAAATACTGTCAAATGCGGACTACTGCAAGTAGTGAATCAAAACTTTGCTTCAACAAAACATTGCTGTAATAAAGCATGAAGCACTACTGCATTTAGGGCCGTTTTCTAATGTAAGCAGTACTACAGTTGCCTTTACTAACAGGGCACTTCCTCACTTTAAAGTGTTTTGGTTTTCTTATCTTACCGGTAAAAATAAATTTGTTATTCCGTAGAGTGAAACTTCACTACATTTCCGAGAGTGAAACTTCACTACATTCGTCATAAAATTTCAAAGGTTGGCAATGCAACATAAGCAAATATATGCGTTCGTTTAAAATCTCCAACAGAAACCAACCAACTGCCAAATTCCGGCGATATGTCATCTGTTCGCTCACAAGAGAAAAATATCCAAAATAGTACGCGAACAGAAAATTTGCAGAAACTTGCAAGTTAGACGAACAGCTGATATAATTTTTGTTTACATTCAAAAGTGTAAAATTTAAAACGTTCGAAAACTCATTACAAAGTGGTATCCTGGCACAGTTTATTGATTAAACAAATAACTACTTACTTCTTACAAGTTTAATTAGTCGCATTTTGTAATTTTTAACTTCCAAACCATCAAATTCAATTTTGTGATTTGCGTAAATGCCAACCAGCTGTTTTTGATCAGCTGTTTTCCTGTTGGCAAATTGCTGTTGGCAAAAATTTTTCCAACAGAAACCAGCAGCTTCCCCTCAAAATGAAATGTCACTTTGCTCTCTCAATTTCCCCTACTTTGCGAGTTTTTTGCGTACGCGAACGCAAAAACTTGTAAGTTTTGGTTAAACATGAACAATTAACAGCTACGCGAACGAACCTAATATAAAGCAAGAGCAACTGTTAGCGAAAACCAAAACCTTGGTAGAAATATCTAATATATCTGACTCATGAACCAAAACTAAACAAAAATTTAAAGTTGGGTAAAAATTTTTAAAGGTTGCATCGGGTGAGCAACAATTTATCGATTCGAGAAATTAATGCGCTGATGAGAAAACGAAAACTCGTATATCGAGGCGATAAAGTGGCCGGTAAACTAAAGGTTGGATGAGAAAACGGCCCTTACTGTCGAATGCAACTACTGTACAGTAATACTGTCCAAGTTACCTAAACTTAGCAACAACTTACCCCAATTATTTTTAACTTTGGACACATTAATAGAGAAAAGCTTATTTATAAGAAAAAACACGTACATATGTATATATCGTCGTTTGAAGTACAAAACCGCGTATCAACAAAATGCAAACCCGCGTATCACGATAGTGCAAAACCGCGTCTGTGAGGTTGCATAAATTATTTTCTAGAGAGTAAAAACATTCATATCACAAAATGGTTTTTTTTTATAAAGCAATCGCATTTCTGGTTGGTATTTGAGGACGAATGGAAAAGGCCAAGCTTGTGTGAGAAAATCCAATTTTTGGCAAAAAATGTCAGTTACGCGGTTTTACAGAACGACGATACGTGGTTTTGTACTTTAAACGACGATATGTATGTTTTTTATTAAAATAATATACGATACTTCTATCACGGCGTTCTAACACAAAGTGAAAAATATTAAACATGTAAACTGCTGCCGTTTACTGCATACCCGATTGTTTTTCTGCACTCGCCGTACTGCCCCGTTATTTTGCTGAATTTAATGTAAATC